CCACCTCATCGGCCCCTCAGCCGCCACATCGGCCCCTCAGCGGGTCTGCGAGGGCTCCGCCGGAGGGTAGCAGGCGTCCGGGACACCGCTGGTCTCGGGGCTGTGGAGCGCCGGCGGTGGGCGAAGGCGGCTTCATGGGAAGGAAAGGCAGTCCTGGAGGTGAGGGGAGGGGAGGATCGGGCCGGGAGGACGCGGTTTTGGGGCTCCGGGCGCTTCGGGGAGGGGGTGGGTCCTGTTGCTGTCCTCGGTGGATGTCTGCTGCCCGGCAGTCGAACCGTCCTGTCAGCGGGAGCCGGGACGCACCAGCCCCGGCCGCGGCGGTGGCTGTGGGCCGCCTGGCTCGCAGAGGGGGCCGCAGGGAGCCTGGGCTCGTAAGGGTGGTGTAAACTTCGGTTTCTGCGGCTTGTGCGGCGTTTTTCGCTCGTAGGAGTTGGTGGGAACTGCGGACAGGCACTTTGGGTAAGGAAAACTGAAGATTGCAGTTTTCTGTAACGTGCAGGTAAAGGCTTTTCTTAAGGGTACTGTCAAATTTGTCCTAGGGTGTGCTTTGTTTTGTTTTTTTGAATAAGTATGAAACCTAGCAAAAGAGTTCAGAGGGATCGTCCTTAGCTGCATTTAGTTCCCTTGTTTTTCGCTTGTCACTTCCAAATGTGTAATATTCGATAGTGCATTTTATGCATACTTTTTTGAGGATTGCTTGTACTTCGTGGCACACTCCTATTTGTACATGAAAGGAATAGCGTATCTGGTTGTGCAAACGCTGTGGGTTTGGGTTTTGTTGGGATTTTTTGTTGGTTTCTTTTTTTTTCAAGTTGAACGTTCCTTCTCCTTTCTCACTATGTGCACGCACGGATGCACTTGCCACCTCTCAGCTGTATCAGCAGCCTATCGGGAGATCCTAGCAACTGCTAAACTTTCAGCCTTCTTTTCAGCTGTCTTCCTGGGAGTGCTTCTTCCTGGAAATGCCACCATTTCCTCCTTGTTCAGGAGGATACAACCATAGTCAGTTGGTCTCTGTTTACTTTTAGAATCAAGTCTAAGAATTTCCACGTGGGAAGAGAATGTGTAATATCTAGATTTAGGTGAGGAGAGGTAACTGTTTATATGAAAATAGCTTTAAGTTGCTTATGGGATGAAATATGTGTTGCCCCTGAATCTTCGCAAAGGCTCAGATGGGTAGCAAATACCTATTGCATATGTAAAAGTTGTATAACCAAGTTTACATGAACATGTGATGACTGCTCTTGCCACTCTGTGTAAGCATCAGTTTCTCCAAACACACAGTGCCTTCAGCTTCCCGTGTGCGATTACAGTGGTTGCTCATGGTAAATAGTTCCCAGTTTTCGACACAGTCAAGCACATGTAAATGGCACTGAGATTCTTCTGCTGAACATTGGAAAATGTCTCTTGAACAGAAGTAAAAAAAGTAATTACATTGATTTACTTTCATAAATATGTAAAGCATTATTTGGATGAGTAATTTTGGCATTCTTTTACAGGTAAGATTCCTTATATTTCAAGATGCCGCTCTTTGGGAATATTGTTGTAATTAAACGGAATGGGACTGATGGAATTAGTTTTCCACTCACTGCAAGTTCTTGTTTATTTGGAAGGTGAGAATTAGTTGAGTACTCGCATACATCAAAATAGTATTAGCGATATTTTTCCTGCAGATTATATCTTTTAATACTTATCTGCAAAAATAAATGTTTGTTTATTTGTGAGTGATGTACAGGGGATGATATTGGTCTAAGGTTATTTGTAAGACTAGAAAGCTGAACTTAATTTTTGTCCTTTCCTTGCTAGAACTACTTTTTTTTTTTTTTTTTTTTTTGAGTTTCTGGCCAAAGGAAATCTGGGGAAGGGATTAAAAGTAATACACAGCTGACAAGCAAGTGATGGTATTCTTTTATGCAGAGGCAGTTTCCAGATAATTGGCTAGGGAAGAGAAGTAAGGTGCATAGCTTGTATTTGACCATCTTCATTACCTCAGTGCTCTTCTCTGTTTTGGGTTTTGGTTTGGTGATTTTTTTTTTTTTTTTTTTGGTTCTCCAAGACCTCAGGAATACGTCACCCAATATCTAGAATTAATATTAAAAATTAGTAAGAACTTATGCCTCCTCCTCCCATCTTGAAACTTACTTCAACTCACACAGTTGAGTGATAGTGGGTTTTGAGTTTGATCCAGCTATTTTACATTAAAAGATAAAACTAATATACCTGGATGGTATATGTGAAGACTTAACTAGATGATCTTACTATAAATAGGCTTCAAATAAAATGTTTTTACTTCTCTTAAACTAGGTCTGTTCAGCACTTTACTGGCTGATAGATATCTTAAATAACTGTAATTATTCAATCTGGAATCAAATTCCATAATGAAAGTCTATGGGAAGCACTCTAGTGTCAATAATACTGTTCTTTGACTTCAGCAGAGCTGCCCAGACAGATGATACTTAATGGTACAAACGTTAATTTCTGCCAGCTCTATCAGTGAGAGGTGTCCCGTACTTCTATGAACAGAAGCTCATATGTTTGATGCCTAAGACCTACAGCATGTCAAAAGCATTACAGATTAGCTTAAAAAAAAAAAAAAAAACAGAAAGAAAAAATCTGTACACTTAGAAACACAGCTTGCACTTACTAACAACTTTTAAGAAGGTAGAAGTGGCTATCCAGGTGAGACCAAAGGTCCATCCACCTCTTACTCTGTCTCTGAGAGTGATCAGTAACAAATACCCAAGAGCAAGCTTAAGAGCACGTGCTGATATTTTCTAAAAATATTCCACAACTCTTCAGCAACTTGCAAGTCAGGAAACTAAGTAAACTCAAACCACCAGATATCTGTTGTAGACATGTCTCTTTCAGCTTGTTGTGAACTACTTTTTTTAGAATTTGGGTTTTTAACACGTTTTTCCTGATATGGATTCTCTGATGTAGAAGTGTGAGCTCCTGTTATTTTTCACCACAGTTGAAAGACTTAGGTAGTTCATTTTCTTCATGTTACTAAATGTGAGAAAGCATCACGCTGCTGTACAATTATTAGCTGAAAAGTTGGAAAATCACCTAATTCTATAGCAGTCAGATTCTTCTGTCTTCTGTGTGTCTTGAAACTCAAATTGTATTTTCACCTGCAGGAGAACAGAATGTGATATTCGTATCCAATTGCCTCAGGTCTCAAAAGAACATTGTAAAATTGAAGTAAATGAAAACAAGGAGGTAAGATATACATATTTTAATGACATATGAATTGCATTGTTGCATCTCATCAGGCTACTGAAATGTTTGTTTTATTTTTAGGCAATATTGACTAATTTAAGTACGGTAAATCCTACGCAACTGAATGGTAGTTGTTTTAAGCAACCTGTACCTCTGAAGCATGGAGATGTGTTAACTATTATTGATCGTTCTTTCAGGTAAGTGCCAATGACAGACTGTTAGTGCCTCCATCCTAGAATGTGTTCTGCAGGTAAAAAACGCAGAGAGCTTTGTGGACACAGGCTCTTACTGCTGGATGAAGATACAGAAGATGGCTGTAGATAAATTGGAAAAATTAAAATGTCCTTTTACCATCTTCAGAAACAGAAGTTAATTATTTCATATTTCTTTACAATGTCTTATAGACCTTCAGAAGGCAGGATTGCTTAAAGATTTTTTTTTTTTAATCGCTTTTATATTACGTTAAGCTAAACCAATAAAGATAGAATTGTCTAGAGGATGATTTTGATTTTGTTTCAAGGGTAGTCATTTTTAGGGGAAAATTTAGAAGTATTTTGGTGTAGTTAAAGCCTTTAAAAGTGATATGTGTGTATTGTTGGGAGTGGACAACTATTGCTAGGTCATTTATCTTAATAACAGGAATTTAGTCATCAGGTATTTGACAAAAAGTGGTTGTCTTTTTAAATATTTCTTCCAGATTTGAATATCCTCTCCAATCAACTCCAAGAAAGAGGCGTTCTAGATCTCCAAAAGATGAAACACTGCAGGTAATTTTGTGGCCATACACTTATTTATTCCAAGTACATTGGTATTAGTAGTGATATGGTATTTTATTTTCCTGTGTTTTCTTAATAGGAATAACTTTTCAGCCATAGACGACCTTTCTGTTTGAAGATACAAGTAAACTCCTTCAGATAAATACTTTTTTAAAAATTAATAATTTATTAATTTTAGACTTGTCATTTTCTGGTAATAGATAGTTAATAATCTATGATGTTACTAATACAGGTAATCTCTTAAAAAATAATCCTTAGCTTTTTCCAAGAGAGGATGGGATGCAGGAAACGCAGACTGTGAGCCTTGGAATATCCATGTACTTTAAATGAGGAAGTTTGCCCCAGAGAATGAGCATTCTTTTTCTCAAAAATAATCTGTGGTTCTATATGCTAGTATACTAACGTATTGTTGGAATTATAAATACCAAACTAAGCCTATCTTTTAATAATTTATTTTTATTAGTTTATTTTTTTGTTCTCAGCAAAGTTTTCTCCCTTAAAGGGGCATACTGTATCTATTGAAAGTTTTTTTTTTTTAATGTTATAGTTGCAATGTGCATTCTTATGCTACAGCTGCTTTTAGAGCTAATAATTTTAATGATAAAACAAGGCTTAAGCTCTTGTGATATAGGACCTTAAATGTGCACTGGTCAATGTTCTTAAATTTTGAAATATTCTAGGATTTAATTTGAATACTTCTAAACCTGTTTAGTCAACAATGCACATACTTTTATAAATCTAGTGTTTTTCAATGTATGGTTGAAAGGTAAACTATAACATATTTGTTGCTCTGCTGTAATATTGTACAAATTTACAGGTTCTTCATGTTCAGCAGGTGGCAGAAGTGGAATTATTATGCAAACAAACTTCAGGATCTAAAAGTCCTCATGCTTCAGGTTGGTACCTGTTTTTTGGGGGCTTTGTTTTCTTCTTCTGCCTTAACTGCATTTAATCTTAGCATAAGAGGAAAAACAAGATTGAAAAGAGCAAAAGAAATGTATTTTAAGGCTTTTCAATCTGAGTACAATACACCTCGCTATGTCGGTGTACTATCTCATCATACTTGGATGCTGTGATTTACCAAAGCTAAGTCCTGCCAAGAGAAATCAGTTTAATTGCATCCTGACAAACGTGCAGTAACAGTTAGCCTCAAATTGGTGAAATCCATATATATTGCTTTGTGCAAATTCAGTTTATGAAGTTTATAGCAAGGAACGGAATTCAGTACACCAGCTTTGCAAATGCAGTACAAATGTCAGTTGAAACTGATGTGTGAAACGATTGCCTATTACATTTTACTTTTCAGCAGCACCAAACGAGTACAACATGGCAAATTCACCTTTGTGATTAAAATTTAACTTGCAGCTCTCTGCTGACCTAAAATACAGCTAGATCCCCTTTGAGCAAATATTGCATTATCTCATGTATTCTTACCTAATAAGAAATTGAAACAGGTATAATTCTGGAGATACATGGGAAGGGTTAATTTTGCTGATTGAAATAATAGTTTACAGTAGCTGTTTCACGTAGACCCAGTAAAAATTATTTAGAGCTACTAAGTCTGGGTAGTTACAGACCATAGGCTGGTTAAAGGCCAGGACTTCACCTTCTCATCCTTCTTGTCTTAAGTAATGCTGCTCTCATGGGAAGAGATGAGGTTGTTACATGAAGGCTATTTATCTACAGACAGGTTTGATTTTTGTGACAAATGTTTGTTCCAGTGCAAAAAACCCAGGCTGTTTCAAAGTGTTCCATTTCAGTGGGTTGTTGTGAGCTCATCTGTATTCACAGTGTTTGGGTCATAGGTTCCCCAACACTGTCCTACAATACAACAGTCTTTGCTTTGTTGTTCTGTCAACTTTGAGGGAACAACTTGTCAGCTCAGTAAAAAAAATACTGATGTCTCCAGTTGTGTAAAAGCTTTCATAGAAAGATCTAATTTCCTGTTCTTTCCCATGTCTCTCTTCCCCCCCCCCGGCCCTTCCCCCTCCTTTTCCCCTTTCCTGGGAGGTAATTGACAGGCTTTTCCTTCTTTGTCAGAGTCTCTACCTTCATCTTTACATGAATTATTTCCCATCACAATTATGAAAAGTCAACATGTATCAGCATTTGTTCCTGCAGGCATTCATGCTGACATAAAGTAGTGTTGAGAAGTAGACCTTGTAGATGTATAGTTGTACATAAGGTCTCAGCTTCTTGTGGCTTAAAAAGGCACCTCTTATCAGATGAACTTGTTGGCTTGCATATACCCCTTGCTCATGGAAAACGCAAAGTGGAGCATGCTACCTCAAGCTTCCTTGGATGCAGTTTACAGATTGCAGTGGAACGGCAGCACACATGCAGTCACTTGCTATGTCTCATCTGGGAAGTGGCAGCTCTGCTCTACTGTCTGGCTTTACCCTAAAGAAGCATTGCCACAGTTCAAGCAATATAGCACCTATGTAAATGCAGGACAAAAACCAGACTGAATTGTGGTAAGCTGATCGAAATGGTTGTTTAATTCTATACTCATAGATTTGTTTTGTGGCAGCCCTGAAAGATGTATATGAGTCATTGATTCTGCAGAAAAACAAAAGCATGAAGTACCAAGTGCCTTACCTGAATATGGGATAAATTCCAGATTACAACATAAATTTTATGTTAAACATTTAGATACTAATGCCTCTATAATGAGAGAAACTGTTATTGTTAACAGTTTTATTTACTGTACTGTATCTTGGACCCTGGTTGACTGTCTTGGGAGAGGAAAGGAAGGAATTTTTAGCTGTATTTATGGAACTCATATTTGTAGTTCTGCAATTTTTAAGTAACTCTGCATCTATATTACTTTTTGTTTTGCTTTGCTTTGCTTACTTTGTAGATAACGCTGAGTGTGAAGAAAAACATGCCAATGAAAATAAACAAAGTACAGAGGAAGATATTTCCAAAGCTTTACCCATCAAACTACAAACACCCAAATCTTCACACAGAATACATCAATGTAGTAACAAGCAAAGTGAAATGTCTCCCTTTAGTAAACTCTATGAAAAACTGAAATGTGAGCTTAAAGTGAAAAAACCTCTGCAAGAGGGAAATGTACCTCAACAAGCTGCAAAAGAAGATGGTAAGAGTGTTCTGCTAGAACCAAGTGCTGGAATTTCATCGTCAAGTTGTGTTTATGATCTGGGAAGCCTGACTAAAGAAAAAGAAATAGGCAGAAGTGAAAATATTGAAGAATGTAAAATAACAAGACAGCAAGAAGTAATCAATTCAGAATTTAACCAGATCTCGGCTATAGGAAGTGCTACCAAGAAGAGTTTTACCAGAAGTCCTCGAACTTCTGTTTCAAAGGAGATGTCAAGGGATACTGGTACAAGAAGTCACTTGCAGGATCATAAGGAACTAAGTACAGCAGGCAAATCTAAAGGTACTGAAGTTACAACCAAACCCAGTAAGGAGAATGATGGAAATGCAGCATTTTCACTGAAGCAGTGCTCTATAGAATGCTTGGATTATGCAGATAAAATAGAAATACACAGCCCTGCAATAGCAGTAGATAAACTAGCACAAACAACTAACATGACAGATGTTTCTGAAGTAGATAAATATGTTCTTTCTACACCAGTGCCCAGGAGGAAGAGTCCTCGGTCTCATTTCATATCGCCTACCAAAGAAACTAGCAGAATGAATCCTGTAAATACTGATACTCCAACAACTCGACGACGTGTGTCATTGCAACGTAAGTCTTTTTCAGAAATTTCAGCTGAAACTCAAAAGGAAGATTCAGTGTGCAGAAATGATAGCCTCAAACAACTGCCTTTGGAAGAAAATAAATGCTTAAAACAAAGACAAAATATTAAGCAACTTACACCAGGAAAACCTGTAGAAGAAGAAGTGCTGAAAGAAATTGGTGATCAGGCAAACTTTGTTAACTCAAAAGAGGGACATTCTGAAACTCCTACTTCTTTTTCTAATTCCAAGAGTCCCAGAAGAAATAACAGGCAAAGTAAAGAATTATCAAACAAAAGTGTCCATTCAGAGACACTGGCTGCAGAAGAGTTAACACCACAACTGGCATCTCCCGCTGGTCAGAAATCTGACTCTGGAAGAAAAAGGGGTAGACCAAGGACCTCTGGACTGCTAGCTGGAAAAGCATTGGAGACAAATGCCGTTCAAGAACATCACGATAAGACTACAAACAGAAAAGACAGTGGAACTAAAGAAGAGTTGGCCACAGAGGGGTATCATCAGAAACAAGATTTGGAAGATGCCAGCATTATAAGACCTCATAGATTGTCAGCAGAGAGAAGGTCTTCTGGAAGTGCTACTGTACTCAAAGACAATGAGGATGTCTCAGAAATGGGTATTTCTGGCCTGTTGGCTGGAGACGAATCAGGTAAATATGTTTAATCCCCTGCCTTAATTTTTTTGTATTTGAGAAATTCTCGTAGCATTTTTATGATAATTTTTCCACTTACATAAAACGTAGAATCCATTGCTGACTTACTAGTTCTAAATTATTTATCATGTAGTTATATTTGACCACAATAATATGTATAAAATTTTCCTCAATTGAATCTATTTCTCTTTAAGGTAAGTTACATTCTGATATATTTCCAACTTAAAAATGCACAAGTAAGCACTGTTTTCTATGCTGGTTAAAAGGTTGACTTGGATTCTTAGATATATAGAAATATTTCCAATTGTTTGTTGGTTTTTTTTAGGCAAGAAAAAAAGGATATCTCAGAAGAGGAAAAGTGGTGATTTGTTACTTCAGCCTTTAGGAAAAAGAAAGAGAGTGTCTTTTGGTGGTCAGCTAAGTCCAGAACTTTTTGATAAAAGTTTGCCTCCCAACTCACCCCTTAAAAAAGGTGCGATTCCTGCCAGACTAAGCTTACCGTTTGGAAACTCACCACGTGCTGTTCTGAAAAAAGCTCAGGGCTTGAAGCACTTTGCAATCCAGGTAAACGTTAAGACTAACCAAGTTGCTAAGACAGTTAATGTGAACAGAATTTATAAATTCTAAGGCTTCTAAAAATTAATTAAAAATTAGTAGTAAACATTGTTAGACGTATGTTGGGAAGTGAAATTATAATTGCACATTATAAAATCAAATTTTAATCAGCATTTTTTTAACTTCTCCATTGTAGGAAAGGGCTCAGCTTAGCCTTTATATCTGCCTGTCTTTATACAGGAGGTCTGTTTTTATTTACCTCACATGCTATTATTGCTCATTCTCCTGCATATGCAGGAGTACATTTCTGTATGTTTGTACTTAGCAGCGGTGTCTACAAGCTCCAGTTTCCCAAAAACAATAGAAAACAAAACAGTAGCACGTTGGTAGACTGTGCAAGCTACTGCCACGTGGTTTGGCTAGAAGTTTGAACACATTTGCTGTTAATTTAAACTTGTTAAAATGTGAGTAGTGTACTTGATGTGAACAAAACTTTGGAATAAAGTAGAATTATAAATTCAGTTAATTTATTCAATTGAATTTGCATGTCTTGTGAGACTGCTTTGAAATGTAAAATGTTACAGGCTTGTTTTCAGAGAATAACATTTAAAGCTTTTTCAAATGAACTGATGATATTTTATACTATTGTATTTACTTGTCAGAGATGTAGATGAGCATTTGTAGTTCAGCTATGCGCAGTAACGTTTTATCTTAATGTATTTTTTTTTCCACCAGGAACTTTCTGAACATTTGCAGAAAGAAAAAATGTCACCAAAAAATTTACCAGCCCAGAAGTCCGCAGCTGCCTCATCCCCTGCCTCTGGGAAGGCAACACCTAAATTTACTTTAAGCTCTCCAGCACTGTACACAAAAGGACGTTTCTCTGTTTCTCATGTCACAACAGTATTACCAATTGTAGAAGAGAAGGATGCTGTTGCAGAAGACATGAATACCAAGGAGAAAAATGATGCCCAGGTGCAAACACCTAAAAACTCTCACATTAACCAAGATGATAAAACCTTTTTAATGGCTACACCTGACAAATTAACAAGAAGTGCACAACTTGCTTTGAAGGTCACTCCCATGAAGAGGAGAAGTGGAGCTGTAGCAGTTATCAATGCAAAAAGAAGAAGTGGTGCCTCTAGTGCCAATTTACTAGGTTTGTTTCAGGAGTTAATTTTTAATATTAACTTTAATGCTTTAACATACAGGAACAGAACTGAAGTAGGCCTATTATTTTGTTATGCAGAGGCTGCCACATGATTGGCATATCTTCTGACGGTTGTTGGACTTATTGTAAACAACTGGGAATTGCAAAGTGTTACATTCTATCGTATTCATAAAGCAGATCGCTAAATCATAAACTGTATTTAGAACACAAATCTTAATGTTGACAAGTTGAAAAATGGTAGAATTAAGGATTTCGTTGCAAGATTAGTTGCAATAGTGATCCTTCAAGTTCAAGTAGTATTGAACTAAATCAAATTGTATCAATTACATCAATTGTGGTTTGAAAACGTGCACTTTATAGCAGTCTAGCTTCAGTTTGTTTTCTTTGTGCCTTTTTTTATACACAGTTCACAACCTTTGTCCATGGAGTGGACTGCACTTAATTGTTGACAGTTAAAATAATAATAATTAAATAATATTTTAATTAAGTAATTTAATATTTAATTAAATAATTTAATTTAATAATAATTAAAATTAGGATGATAACTAGGTGGTAATTTGAATATTTTGAGGTTGAACATTTGAATTTGAATGTAGAACACTGGTTCAAAATAGTTTCAACAGCATTGGAAACATTACGATAGGGGAGCTCTGGTTCTTGAAATTTTTATCTTTGAAGAAACTCACAGATAAGATGTCTTTGTCATCTGTTTTCAAAATCTTTTAAAATCAAATTTAAAGCTTCCCACCAACACCACTATTCAGCCAGGAATTTTTATTGCTCTTTACTATCTCCATTTTTTTGTAGTGTCATTTTAAAATTTCGAACAACATACTACATACGATGTCCCAGTGATGGTCTCATTATTATTATTACATGATGAGATAAGATCACAGGCCTTCACAGTGCTTCCTGATTAATACAGCTGAAAGTGGTATTAGTCTTTTAGTGACATAAGTGGGGTTTGTTGGTTTGGTTTTTTTTTTCCAGTGGCTTTGGTTGTTCCATTCATTTTATAATAACAGCAGAGTACTTCACAAATATTAATGACAAACTATTTTTCACCACCTCTCTGTAATGTGTAAGTGGTTTTTAATATCAGTGCTTCAGTTTCTCCTGTAATATGGAAAGATCACCACAGTTCCGAACACTTTTGGATGTCTCCTTTGTATCCAAAATAAAACTCTTTGTGTTTCCAATGCTTTGTCAGATAATTTACTGCTTGCTTGGCATTTTTCTACATATCCCGAACAACCTAGCAATGACAGCTTTTGAAAGTTCTTTTTATTTACAGTTTCCCCAACTTGCATAGCAGTTCTGACAAGAGAATAATAATACCCTTTTCTTCAGGAATGGCATTCCCCTTTTTATCTCTAGTTTAAAAAACCCAAACTTTTCTTTTATATGATCCCTGTCTTCACATAGCCTATTTCTGAAGTAAATGAGGCAGATGTCCTACCAACTTACAGCTTCATTTGTTACACAGCTCTAATTCCCTGATTCTTCTGCTGTGTACAGAATGATGCTGTGATAAAGGTAACCTTTGGGAATTTTCAAAGTATGTTATAAGGAGGAGGTCATATAAGAAAAAATTATGGAATGTCTGTGTAGATCTAAATGCTGTAAGTAGTATAAATAATTTCCTGACTACGAAATTCCTTGGGAAGGTGGTGAAAGAAAAGCTGGATATGTTTCACTTAGAAGCCATTTCTCTAATGTTAAATCTCATGTCCCACCAGGGAAAAGTTCAGGTATAATAATGAATGAGACTGAAAGGCTCATGGCAAGTTTCTATTGGGAAAAATTATTTCTTTACAAAAAGAATAAGGATGGAATTGGGTCAGCATTCAATTCTAGGGTCTAACACCTATTTGACACTGTATGAAGCTTTTTTTTGTTGTTTTATTGTGGAAAGCCATACTGGGTACTTGGACACTTGTTAACTTCAGCTGAAATTGGGTCTTCCAAGTGAAAGTGTTGCATGGACCACTTTAGTATAGGTGTTGTCAGATGATACAACAACCATTTTCCTATGCCTCACTGCAGCAAATCCACTGGAATCATAAATAATTGTGAACTTCAGTTTATACATCTGAGAATTAAAGGGGTTATTTCTCTTTTGCTTTCTAGTTGCAAAATCTTGGGCAGAAGTGGTAAAATTAGGTGTTGCAAGACCACAGTCAAAGACTGTTAAAAAACGTGTCCACAAGGGAAGATCCCGAAAGAAAATAACCCAATCACTGAAGGTATTCTTTTTCTTTTTTCATGTTTCTTTTTGTTGTTTTTGCACAACCATAAAACAGCTTGTAGGTATTTTGCTACAGAAGCTAGAATCTTCTGAGCTTTTAGTATGTTAAATGGGTGTTGCTGTCTTTGTCACAGTGTGTAAGAAATGTAGATTTTTATATATAAGGAATCTTTGTTTACTAACTTTTTTTTTCCTTTCTTTCCCCTCTGCAGACTCCAGAAAGAAAAATAAATGGTCATGTTAGTACAGGTCATGCAGAGTCACCTGCTACAATAGTTGTAGGTAGAGCTTATTCCACCACAGTCAGAACGGCTGGACGGGTCCCTAAAGTGGTAAAAAATCCTATCTTGAAGCTAAACATGAATATGGATGAAAGCTTCACAGGTAAGTTTTTAAAGTGTGTTGCTCACTCTGCCAACTGTGTAGTTCTTTTGTCAAAGCATATGCTCATATCTCTGAATATAATTTATAGGAATGACTGAAATGTTTCAAACTCCGGAAAATAAGAGTGGAAAAACATTATCTTTGGACGCTGTTCAGAAGACTGATTTTACACCAACATGTACTGCAGTGGAAATTTCTGAATTGCACACTCCTGAAGAATCTGGTATGTTTGTTATTTGGAAAGAAAGGGATTGTTTAGGTATATTTAGGGGTAGCAGTGTAGTGGTGTGTCTGCTGCTTGAGACAGTGAGTAGTCTCAGCCTAGGCAGACTTGATGTATTAAGATGAAGCACCTGGCAGCCCATAAAAGGAACTGTTGATTTTTATCATGTATTAAAAGACATTGTTGTAGTTCCAGTTAATTTCTGAGTAGGTGTTATTTTCTTATTTGTTCTATTTGGTATGAAACTTCAAAATATTTCAGGCAAATCTTGTGCTGAAGCATGGCACTTTCTTAATCGGTTATCTGTGGATACATCTAAATCCAGTGACAAACTTTCATGGGAGGGAGAGGTTATTGTGTAATCTTGCAGAAAAAAATCTATTTAAGGTTTTTGTTTGGTTGGGGTTTTTTTGTTTGTTTTTTTTTTTTTTTTTACAAAGTCTCAGGTTAGGAAGATTTGTATTAAGATGGTTGTGCATCTTCTACTAATAACCTTGCATACCAGTCGTCATGTCCCTGTATAACTCAGAATTCTTGAAATTAAAATTCTGTTTTCTTGAGAATTTAGCAAAACTGAGCATCTACTGAAACACCAAGAAAAATCAAGAATAAATCCTCCAATATTTAAAATAATAATAATAATAGTTGAAATGTATTTTGGTTTATTTCAGATGTGGAAGATAGGCTTAGGTATAACAAACCTTGTTACAACTTCAGAAGGGGGTCCAGCAAAAAGTGTTTTCTTTGAAATGGAGAGCTAGTAGAGTGATCTTCATCCATCTGAAGATGTCTGTTATCAGATGTTATTTATCCTGTTGTTTAGTGCTTTCCTTCAATCAGTGGGCAAGCCCTTAATCTTAGATTCTATACACATTGATCCTTTTGTACATCGTGAATACTTTAGTTTCATAATTTAGGGAATATGGGTTGAAAAAACTAGTTTATTTCTTAATCCTGCTGGACCAGGAATTTGGAAGGACTTGAACATCTATCTCATGATTAGGACTTGACAGGATAGGAACTACAAAGGCAAGTTATTGCTACATCCTACAAGCCTTGATTAAAAACTGACACCAGCAGACGTGTATTTTATTTCTAGTTTGAAGAGGAGGGTTATGCTTTTAAAATGAACTGAGTGGTAGTTTTAAGATTGAGATTATAGTTGCAGTTAAGGATAAGGGACTCCTTGAGTTAGCCTGTTTCTCCAGCCTGCAGTACTCTTACACGTTACTGGCCTTCGGGTAGAGACTCATTAACTGCAACTCTCTGAGCCTGACCATCCAACCAGTTCTTTATTCAAATGGATGCCCATTCATATAGCCTGTGATGTTCTTGTTTGGATACCAAAATATTGTGGGAGACAGTGTTGAAAACCTTGTCAAAGTTGCATTAAATAATAGCCACTGCGCTCTTTTCATCCACAAATCTGTTCTTTTTACCAGAGAAGGTAATTGGATTGGTCAGGTTTGATTTTTCCTCTGATAAATTGATGCTGACTGTTCCCAATCACTCTGTTCTTCCTGTGCCCAGAAGGGTGTTTCAAGAGGACCAGCTCCACTACTTTTCCAGGGACCAAAGCAAGGCTAGCTTTTCAATATTCAAGGCTTGGTCTTGAATGGGTTCATGAAGCGAAATTCCTGCTTAACCAACTTCATTTCCTTTTCTGACAGGGTCACCCATGTAGTTGAACAAGGGAAGTCAGTAGATGTGGTGGTTTGGGATTTTAGTAAAGCTTTTGATGTG